ATATATTATTTTTTCACTTTGTGAATTTAGAAAGGAAATGATGAAATTACAAAAATACAACTTTGATTATAGACTATTTCTTGTTCTAAAATGGTGCGAAATGAAATGGTAAAATCAAGACTTTGTTGTATTTATCCACTTTCATTATACTAATAAAAACTCAACCAACTAAAAATAACACAACCCTAATATATACTGGTATGAATAAATTCGAAGGATTGACATAGACACATTACACTCTAACATTGCTGAGATGATTCATATAATAAAAAATTCTGTGTTCGATCTCCACTGAATAAGAAAACTTTTCGAATTAGCTGTAGTACTATTATTGCGAGCGCGGAATTAGTCTCCAGAAATATCTTTGATAAGGAAAAAACCTAGCCTGATAACGTTGTTAATTATCTACTTAATAATGTATGGTCACGGTAATCTATGAAGGTCTCATGATGAAATTCACGTCATGGTGGTGTCAATAGTATCAAGTCCATGATGACTTTGAAGCCCAGCATCATAATGAAACTCCCACATGATAAGCCACTACATATGAATTAGGAAGAACCAGACCGTAGAACTAGTCTTAGTTGGATAATCTACAGAAGAAGAACTGTTAATGTATGTTCTTTGAAAGCTCTTGGTAGTGTCCCATTATATGAATCTCGTTGACATTTCCATACAAATTAATTGATTGGAGCAATTCATATGTAATAACTTTATCTGATGTCATTATTTGAATGCTCTCACTGTAAACTCCTTAGTGGGGTTTAGTGTCTCATCGGTGTACTAACAAATTATAAGGTAGTTGATAATTTTCATGACATCAGCCAATTCCACATCAAATTATTGGAGGAACTTTCCAATTCATGGAATGTTTTGGATCACATATATTATATAGCTAAGAAATTATTTAATTTTTTTGTGGTTAATCCCTGGAGGGAGCATGTATCAGAAGTTGGAGTTAGGTTCAGAGAAAGTTAGATTTTAGTAATTCAACAAATAAAAATTGGCCAAAGATCTCAATATAGTACTTTTCTTTCTTTTTCTTAACCCCACTCCTTTTTTATATTTTATGGCATTATATGGCATGTTTGGTTTGGTCTAGTGGTAATGTCTCTGTCACTATTTTATACAAATTCCACTAACAAGATTGAGCAGCCATGGCATTTGCTTATTAGTCTAAAACATTAATTTTTTTCAAAGTTCCCCACTCAAATGAGAGCCTTTCAATGAATTGTGCACTCTACAACTCGATTGGTTCCACCTAGAACAGTGGAAATGAACCTTCTTAATGATGATACCTTTAGTGCCAAAAAAAGAAAGAAAAAGAAAAATTCTGGCCCTCATCTGATCTGGAAGCTCTGAAGCATATTTTCGTCCCTACATTCGAAGTTTGAATCTTTTTAACAGAAAAGAAATGAGTAAATCACCAACTAATTAGGCTTTGAAATCGGTGGACATTTTACTAAACAAGTTAGTCTAGTTAATTGAATATCTCCGTTAATGTTAATGTTTGTGTCATGTGTGACATTTTATCTGGATATATGATAGTTAATGTACATGACATTTTACCATTTATTATTTAATTCTTAATGTCAATGTTTTAATTAAACATAATAATGTCCTTAATTTAATTATGATATTTTTTTACTAAAAAAATGTTATTCTTAAAGTATCTGTAAGAGTATTATTGTTAAATAGGACAACAATAATATATTAAGACTGTTGTATGAATTGAATGATGATCATATTTCACAAGTTATAGATATGGAGACAACAAGCTAAACATACATGTATAAAATTGAAAGTAGATATTTATATTGGATGAACCCATTATCAATGAGAAGACTTCATAATACATTATGCAAGTGTCATAAGTATTTCTCATGGTGATCATAGTAAAATAGTCCTTTGACTTAAAGTCACTACAATTCTTGCATGTAGGAGTTGTAGACTTTGATGTTAT